TAAATGTGGGCGCATGCGCAGCTCGCTAGCCACAAAATCCCCACGCGCCCTGCCTCATGTCCTCCTCCGTCGCTCCTCCTTTTCCACACCCCGCCACTGCGCTGCCTCTCCTCCTACACCGCACCGGCGGAGAGTACAACCTTGGCAACGGGCACAAGAGCCGCTGCCACATCGGTGCGGCCATGGGGGCCACCAGCTGCACTCCTCGTCGTCACACCGGCACTAGCATGCACATCCACATGGAGCAAGAGAAGAGGTGAGTTCATCACCTTTTTTCCTGTTTTCCCTTTTCCTAAAATTCTTGAAATTTTGTTCACTAAAATAAGTTAGATCTATATATGATGTGTAGGAAATGCTAGCTAGTAATTAGTACTCCCTCCATTTAGGTGTATAAGTCAACCTTACGAAAACCAAATAATCTCAAAACACTTAGGCGCGGTGCATTAACTCTTATCTCGTTTCTTGTTTCTTAACATAAATAAAGGAATCAACCAATAAGAGATATGAGGCGTGCATGCTTTTAGTGACTTGAGACTACCAAACACGACATGCAGTGGTCAGTTCATTGCATGCAATGCTATTAATTAGCAATAAACATTAAGTCATCTCGTTTTTCCCTTCACCTTGGTCACGGTGCACAACCTAATATGACTTATGCACCCAGACGGAGGGAGTACCAATTATTAAAATGCTAGTAATTAATTAGAAGCCAATTTTTTTTGTTAAAAATGCTAGTAGTTAGAGGCAAAACAATTATTTCTTAAAATAATGAAGTTAGATATGATGCAAGAGCATTATGCTTATTTGTTATATATATCTATACTTATAAGAAATAAGTCAATAGCAAAAGCTAGTTATATAGTTTGTTATCTTTTAGAAAGTTAGCTCACATATATATTTGCAACTACTAATTATTAGTGTAAAAAGTGTAGCGATTGCCCGACCTATGATAGCTGTTGGGTCGACTCCTCCACCTACGATGTGTCGGATCCCGTTTATACCGAGGATTCGAATGCGCAAGCATTGACCTCTAGCCCCTAGTCTTCGGACGGCCTCGACTTGATCGAGTTCTACGAAGGACCGGCGGCTGAGGAGCAGTTGGAGGAGGACGATGGGGACGACGTCGGCCCCTCCACTGCCAAGGATGACTAGCCAATGGTCAGCGGCAAGCGTCCTCCCCAGACGATGACCCAGAGTGGGCATCAGAGAGGAAGGAGTAGATGCCTACTAGTATAGCTAGTTGGATTGAGTCTAAAGGTCCGAATTGTGAAACCCTAGTTTGGACATAACTATTATTTATATATCGATGCATGCATGCAATGGTTTCTATGTTTATATATGTAGCTAGTACTTTTGAGGAAAAGCTTCAAGTAACGGTTGTTGGATCCTCCGGAGAATTGAGTAGTGAGTGCAAAAGATATAAGATAAACATCAATGCTCAGTACTAACATATCGAATCACGCAAGATTTAACGGTGCGATAAACAGATCACAAATCCACCATATGCACATCAAACAAACAAATCACGTCATCTTTGCAGCTCGAGCTCGCCGGTGACACTTTATGACATGCTTCAGTTTGGAGCTGGCTACCAATGGAGATGGGCTTATTTGCAGCTCGCCTTCCAATTTTAAGGCTAGGGTTCTTCGTATCTTGCTTTCCTCATGGGTTGGAAAGGGTCAAAAGAAAAGAAAAAACGAATGTAGATTTGTCGTGATCTAAGCCATGCGTACATAAAAGAAATAGATCACATCATCATTGTAGCTCGAGCTCGTCGCTGATGCTTCGTGGCCTGCTTCAGTTTGGAGCTACTTGCCGTTGGGGACGAGCTTATTTGCAGCTCGCCTTCCAATTTGAAGGTGAGGCTTCTTCACATCTTGCTCCTCTCACACACCTCGCGGGTTGGAAAAAGGGTTCACACTCGTAGGAAGATTTGGATAGCATCCTCTTCTTGCATTTCCCTGCAATTTAAGAAATGCAAGAAATGAAAAGCACTGGTGCTCCACAATTAGTTCCAGAGCGGGTGTATTAATTATAGATAAAAATTCTGAACTTACAAGGGTGCACAATATAAAGAAAACAGTACCAAACATGTATAGATAATCTGTTGGATTTCAACCCGAAAATATATAAGCATGATTACCCCAAAATGTTACCCGAAGACCAACTTTGATCCGTGCATAAGGTAATCTTCTCTTGCAGGATCTCTCTTGCACGTCCAACTGCTCTCTGGCAGTGTGGCTTCATCAATTGGTTCCAAGGCTTGAAACCACAGATTGCTACTGGATATCCTTCATAGCTCATATATACAATACCTATAAGGTGTACCATCGAGGTGGTGCAGGCCTCCTCCCTATCTGGCAGCATGAGTGCATGACTGGTGCTGTGTGGGCAGTCAAGATCATCTTATTCATGTTTCGCAAAAAAAAAAGTTCATCTTATTCATATATGCAGAAGGACTTAGTGGAACTACAGCCACATGAAACCATTGCCTGAAACAGGGGAGGGGGGCTGAATTCGTACTTGTGGTCTTTGGCCCGTCCATGGAAATCTGCAGCCAAAGGAGAGGTAGGCCCGCCATCGGGGCGGCTAGGCCCTAAGGCTGGAGATACAATACAAGCTGCTCCCTGTGGCCTGTAGATTCAGTCTAGCTACCTACTATCCATTGTGTACACCAAAAGTCTGTCGATGGAGGAGATGTGCTAATTCACAGCTCGCCTTGCAATTTTA